CATTTGTGGTTTGCTCACCCTCTGGAGGCCACAGAGTTGAGGTATTATACGAGAAGTCTTAAGAAGAATGTAGCTTTCTAAGAGCTTGTCGTCTCAAGGGCTCTCTTAATAATCTTCTGTCTTCCCCTCAAACTCGCTCCCTTGATATTCAAAGTCTTTCATGTTCGTACTCATGATGTGCTTCCTTGTCTGTTCCGTTTTTTCCATGGAAGGTCAAACGGTACTGCGAGAATTGTGTATTTGTAAATATTGGGAAAAGCATCGTAAAGGTAGGATAAGCTCACCTGCTCACCTGCACTTTGTCGTGTCGCACTTGCTACTGATATAATGGAGAGCCTTTAGTGTATTTTGTATTACAGAATTAGATTGGTGTAGAATTCGCAGTGTATTTTATCCTGTTCGAGGGAAAAACGTATTTTTATAGAAGTCGACTTTGGATTAATATTAGAAATTAAAATGAATATTTAAGAGCAATGGACCAGGAAATAACAAGTTGAACTGTGACAATAATTTCACAGTTGACGTTTCTGTTTCTCTTTTATTTTGCAGACTTGTTTATATGATTGGATTGCAAAATTATTTTCATAGATATTTTATCTGAAAGAAATTCACCTTCAACGGTTATTTTTTGACGTTCTGTAACATCTGTGGAAATTTGCCTGTCCGTTTACTGGCAAATAACAAGTGTTCGATCCCACAGAGAAGTCCGCCCATATTTTTCTCCGAACCAGAATGAAGCCGGAGCAGTTTTAGATTTTCACAAGGTTAGACATTAACGTTTCTACATAATAAAGGTCTTTTTACAAGTTGATTCGATTCAAATGGTTCTATACTTTCCGTGCTTCACCTAAATCACGCCTGTTCAGTCATAACAAAGTTCTCATCAACATCCTTTTTTTTTCTTTTCAAAATAACATGTACAAAACAAACATATCAAATCAATGTTTAACGTGCAGCCATCTCATACCTGCAATGTTATATGTATCATTTTAGGATCCACGCACAAAAAATACTCATTTCACATTTAAGACACAAATATTTTGTTGTTAGGATTATGAACTGTACAAATTATGTATCCAAACAACAGCTTATCGTCCACATCCCTGTCACATAGAAAAGAAAAAAAGGAAAAATCACATGACACGGATTTTAATGTGGAATATGTATGGCTTGCGAATTCAAATTACCAATTCACCTTTTGCTCAATGTATTAAACGTGTTGATGTGTATCTACAAACGAGGTGTTAAAAGAAAATGACCATGATACACGCAACTCATACTGGATATTGGGAAAAAAATGGTAAAAATAAAGACTTTTTTTGTTATGAAAGCAGATATGATGGCATTCTTTGATGAAACGGCTAATAAGCAGTAATGTGTGTCTTACTGTAATCCATTTTATATATTGGATAAAGACTTTGTGAAAAAGGAATAAACATCATAATAAAAAAAAAAAATCTTTCTATATCCTTAAGAAGCACTATAAATTTAGCTCAATCGACAGAAACTGAAAAAAAAATCATCATATATGAAAAACAGATCCCAAGAAATAATACAAACATATGATAAGGTAAACAGTATATCACAGCATTTAAATCAACATGATAAAACGAGAAATGAACACGCATTGCGAAAGAAAAAAAAAATAATAATGAACTGATAAATTGAAAGATATAAGAGGAAATACGGGAGAGAACAAAGAACGAGAGACAGGTAGATGCAATTAAATTTCCCTCCTAATTGCTCTGTTTATTGAAGTCTCATGTTACAGTGTTTAGCAACTAAATGTGTACAAAACGCAATTACATCAAATGATTTCTTAAAAACTCACCCTGGCATAACTAGATATGTATTTATCGTTATATAGATGTTCACATTGAATCAATACCAACACAATTTAAACAATAGATTATAATCCAATAAAATATATGTTCACAGATACGGTTTTGTTCCCTATACAGCACAGTTCAAAATAAAACTTAGTGATGAAGTATACATTCAGGAAATCAAACTCTTTAATAAAACAGCGTACATTTTTGCAAATATCGATGAAAATACAGAAGGAAACATATTACAGAACATTAATAGTATTAATAATAAAGTAACCCGATTATTTATGTGTTTAATGGAAATGTACTTTAGAATTAACAGAGAGGTAAGCGAAAGTTCTCTCACAACACGTTATGTAAAATATGTTGAAAACATTTGTAGATGCTCACTGGACTCGACTATATGTGTGTGTGCGCGCGTATGCATACAGACATATACAAAATATATACACATTTTTTCATACACACGCACACACACACGCACACACACACACACACACACACACACACACACACACACACACACACACACACACACACACACACATATATATATATATATATATATATATATATATATATATATATATATATATATATATATATATATATATATGTGTGTGTGTGTGTTGTGTGGTGTGTGTGTGTGTGTGTGTGTGTGTATGTATATG